ATAAAATATTGGCGAGATACTTGCTTTTTAGTATGTACCCGTTTAAAAGGTGATCACCTCGTCAAAAAGGCTTGTTTACGTCGTGAACGCATCTTGTCCGGACCAAACAACGGATCCGACTGAGACTGCAAAGTAAGACCATGAGCTTCGTAATATTGTCGTTTGCAATGTCGCGTACAACGTTAGCCTCAATCGTGCTTTAAGTGGGTATACCACTATCTTGTTTGATACACCGGTCGCTTCGGTATGTCATTTTTCAGATCGTGATTATTTTCCGTTTAACTAGTACTCGTACCAGATGAAACTCTGGGTTTCTACTGACATGACTGATTGGAATAGCTAATGAATTCCTACAAATAACAATGGTATCACGATTAACCGCAGCTGAGGTATGTGCGAATGCGTTTTGTGTTCCCAACAATCATCACTGTAATGAGTATGCTAAATGGAAGTACTCGTTATTACGTCGGCGGCATACTGCGTAAAATAGGCGAACTGTTTCAACCCAGTTAGATTTTGTGATAGTCTGCTGACTGTTTCCTTAATCATTATGGTACTCTATGGTTGGGCAAACTTGGACGTGGGCAACAAAGTTACGTGTTTTTCATCGTATAACGGTCAAAGTGCTTTGCACAAGATGACAGATTTAGACCACTTCGCTTTGCACTTTAATGAGAAGACCGAAGTTCTCTGCCAACAAAACATGACGATATAAAGCTAACTGGTTTGTGGTTCGGGATTCTACCTTAATGTCACAGTTTCGCCGGTAGGGTACACTCGCATGCAGACGATGTTTCGGTTTCTACGCACCATATTTGGTATCTTCGACCAAATAACTTGTTTCGATTTTCGAATAGTGGCTCACGCTGAAATCAAACCCCCAGACGTTTGTTTCTTTACGATAGAAAGCAACAAACTTCACATTATTGCAGAAATAGTTGATCATAATTGAATGAAAATCTTGATGAAGTATTTGGTTTGTACAAAGAGGAAAAAGAACAAAAACGTTCTCATATTTTTTCAAGGGTAACCGCCAAAATTTGTATGTTCACTGTTGTGTATTTGTTCATACAGAAGGTAACCGGAAAACGTCGAGTACATATAACCGTGAAGATAATGTGCACCTTCTCGGATACTTAGCCATATTCGATCTCCCTTACCAAGGACCAGAATCGCTTGGTTACTTGTTGTGGACCATGGAGAGCTTTCGGACCAAATGTCGAAAATTGGCTGTTCGTTGTGCATCAGTCTGACAGCAGCCTTGAAATAACATTTATATGATATGAGCGATATAAAAGTCTTACTTAACCGACCAACGAACAGAGAACTGTTTGCATGCATTGAATTTAAAACCTCTGCTGTGGGAGTCGCAAAGCACAGTAATGACAGTAAACCGTATCTTGCACAGGGTAACGAAATACCGGTCTTTGGGATGATATATCCTCCTAGAATGAGCTCTTCATCGTGAATTATTGGTCTTGTTGAGATTGTTTTATAAGGTTTTACAAAACATAACCAATGAGTCTGTGAATTTTGTCCATATTTGTACAGGTCTGACGCAGTCACACCTATTGGTTCAGCTCGAAGGATGAATTCGGGCGTGTGAAACAGATGGATAGAGGGTGGCCCACACAAATCCCCTGCTGTGAGATAAAAGGGTTCTGAAATACCGGACTACCTTTGGCACACAAAATAATTAACCTCTCTCCTTCTGCCTTCTCTCTCCATGTTAGTACTGAAAGTCGGACATGGAATTTCTCCCCATAGATTCGGTTCTTTTGAAACTACGGCATTTTGAACTATTTCGATGTGGTGTGAAGCGCACCAAGGAAAATCGCGTGGTGACATACATATTTCTACTCCAAACGGGATATGACCGGCACTTGACGGCAACATGCAACTGCCATAACTGGCTATCCGAAAGAGATTCTTGTCAGCGAACATGCATTCAATTCATTCAATTCTGACTAATTCTTTTCTGTAGCTTCTTCTGTTCCAGCATTTTGTTCTGTATAATTCCGAACGGCCACCTGATTGAACTTATTTGTCGGCAGACGTTGGGCGTTTAGTTCCAAGTGAGTATTGTTTTTGTAAGCACTCTTCAAACCGAGTTTTACGGTGAATAGATTTTGCCGAGCCGTCTTCCATGGATTTCTGCATATCTGTTTATTCAATTATGCCTCAGACTTTATATAATCTACTACACAGTCAGTGTATGTTGTTGAGCTGACGTCCATCGTGGCTAGATATATCCCAGTCCGACGTGGTTGCACGTCAGTTTATGTCCCAAAAAGGCCAACCGGAGGAAAACAATTCTCCTATTGAGTTTGATGTGTCGTTTTTCTAGCTCCCGAATCACACAGTGCTCACAGTTTCATCTGCTGGTCATCAGATAACCTCGTGGCACTGAGTCTGAGGTCGGTTGATGCGCTATCACCTGTTGACTAATTGCTCAGTACACCATGAATCCGTGGGTTTCAAAATGAACCAAAACGGTAACGATCAAATTTGTGCAAGTTCTTATGGCACACGGATGTAGTTCACCTACACGTGCAAACTCGCTACACCGCGTCATACACTGATTGAGAAGGGGGACCTTGAGATGTTCTCGCCAGGCAAATGGTTGCTGTTTCGAATTTTGTTGACTTTTAGACTATTTCTGTAGGTCATCCTTTGTCTATCATCTTCCGTGTGGGTTCGGAATTTGCATGCAGGTTTCGGTTAGTGGGTAGTCGATTGAGCTGGTCTTGTACCATTTTTTCGAATCAGAATGATTGGTGATCAGCTGCAGTGCAAAACACTTGTGTGGTCCGATCCTTAATTAGGGCCTTGGGGCAAAATGACCTTATCCGAAATTCATAGGATTTAATTCGACTGATACGAACGGCTATAAAGGGTCATTAGTGCGGCTGACCAGGATAACAATTGCGATGACCAAAATTTCGAGAAACTGGACAAAGAGAAAGCCAATAAGCTGCAAATTATGGTGTGTCAGGCTTTCCAGAGGAACTTGCTCAAGAACCATACGTATGGTCTCATTTGAAAGCATTAGGTAGTCATCAAGTCGTCAAAAACTGGTAGACACCGTGGACTGCGACCGGAAAGTTACTTTCGCATGATCTCGACGGGCTAAATTATACCCCACATTACCAATCAACTGGTACTTCTCCATAGGATTTTACCTTAAAGATTTTCTAGTGGATATTTCGTTTTGCAAGTGAACCAGCCGAAACGACTGCTTAGCTGTTTGATCCTTATTAGAGATTATCAGCAGTGCACATCTCACGAAACTCTTGTTTCAAACGAGCGACCGCCCAGCTAGTGATTTGAACAATTAGCGGTTCTTCCACAAGCTGCTTTATTTTCGCTGTTCGATTTCTCGCTTTCATAGTCTGGCTGATGTTGTGCGCACATATAAAATCATTAACTGTTTTGACTGAAAGACTGGTTTGTGAATCGCTTCCAAACTGTTCCCCGAAGGTACGACGACTTTTGTTAAAAAAAGTCACTTGTTAGCCACCTAAGGACTCCGAATGTTTTATCAATTAGCCTAATGTAGTACAACATATCTTTTCATATCCAAATGATAAAAAGTCAAAAAATATATGGTCCAGGAAACAAATAACTAATTGGACTAATTTGCATTCTTGAAATGGCGTGCAGTTAAGTTGCTTCTAAGATTACTTCGCGCTAGACGGAAACAGCTGTCTTTTGGCATGCTAGTAACGTAAATCACACTGATTAGCCAGATTTCCGTACTCCCGCATCTCAAAAGCTTTGCAAAAACACGATGTCAATGAGCCACACCTTCGTGCAGCGCGAGTATGTATGCAATACTGTAGTAGAAGATTCACTGTCCTACTGTGTACGTACTGTTACAAAAAGAGCTGTGAACTGAAGATCCCCGCAACTAGCATACATTATTTTCTCTGAGCTTAATACGAAATTTGCGTAAGGCATAGAACATCCTAAAGCTACCTCAACTCGATTCTCCGACAATAACAGCGGATATTCACAACGCTCATGTACGTTTGAATCACATTTATTTGTCGACTGTACCCTCTCACAAATACACGAAATGGTTGCATCTTTCACTTGCTCGACTTCCAAGTACTCAAAGATATATCATGGGATACCTGCATCACACTCAAAGGGTCATATGTACTCCACTGTCTCATCGAAGTGAAAGTTGGTTCCTTCTCAGTTTCTTCCGCACTGAATATAGTTACCAGCATGATCCAGTTCCTTCATCTACCATATGCAGCAAACCTGCCCATCATCCGAGTCAGTTCTCCGCTTTTAAGATTAGCTGAACACAGGTTGTAGGTCAGCAGTTGTTTCCATGTCATGAACAGAACAATATATANGTGAGTGAGTTTGTCGTAACTGAAATGTGGTCAGAAGGCATGCCAACTTTACGAACTTTACGAATACCGCCAGTTAGCTTGTCTGCTCATCGAATTTTGTCCTTGGGAAACCCATCTTAACACTCGCTGGCATCGTCAAGCATAGTTTGGGAATTTGTTGAAAAAGTCGAAGACGTGAGCACAAACTACAAGGTAATATTTTCACTTTATGTTGCCTCTGTATTTATTAATGTTCTTCTAACCGAACCCGACCTAAAGCTGCCACCTTGACGTGGTGGTCGGGCTTGAGTGCTGCAATGATCCCGCGGGCTACACTGGCTGGAACTTCGTTCCACAAAGTACAACCATGCCAGGAAGGCCAAAGGGGAGCAGCCAAACCAAGAGCAGCGAGACCCCGTACTACGAGTAATCGTGCTACGAGGCGGTCTGGGGGTAAAGTCGTACTGTTCTCTGCGACAAGAGTGTAAAGGCAGTAAGGTGTTTCCCCCAGGCGACCAGCATGTCCATATTTATGGGAGCAGCGATGCTGCCCTCCCCCGAGGAAGGACGGGTTAGAAAAGGTCGGCCCCAAAAACCGCACACTCCGATCGCCCAACGGTTGACCGTGACCGCCGGCGCATTATCCAATATGGTCGAAATACTTTTAAAGCCAAAGAGCCCGGTGCTGCTCAAAAGGTGCTGGCTGTGCGCAGCCGCATCAGGAATGCGACAGTAACGCCTTATTCCTTGCGCCCTCTGGTTAGGCCAACCCCTTGCAGCCGAGCATGTCAGACTGTTGAGTCGTCGGCTCCGGGCAGGGTCCCCAAAGAAAACCCTACATTCTCCCACTGCCTCGTGAGTCAGAAGCTAGGGTCAGATCACTGAACAAAACCCTACATCCTCTCACTGCCTTGTGAGTCAGACTTTTGAGTTAGAGGCTAGGGTCAGGGTCGCCAAACAAAACCCTACATCCTCCCACTGCCCTGTGGGTCAGACTTTTGAGTCGAAGGCTCAAGGTGGGGTACCTCAACCAAACCACCTTCCTCGGCCTGAGCAACCGGGAAGTGTCATTTGCCCGCGCAGTTCAGCGTCCACCGATGTCCCCCCAACCCCTTCCCACCGCACAAGCAAATGTCGCTGGGTCATTTGACTGTCAGCCA